TCTCTCTCTCTCTCTCTCTCTCTCTCTCTCTCTCTCTCTCTCTCTCTCTCTCTCTCTCTCTCTCTCTCTCTCTCGAGCGAGCGAGCGAGCGCGCGCTCTTGCATGCGTGTGTGTGGGCTGTGCTTTTCCTTCATCCTGGCCTTGAGATGCAACCGGCGATTATGTGCATGTGCTGTGCTTTTCCTTCACCTTGGCCATGAGATACGAGTGGCGATCGATTGTGTACGGCAGCAGTCACTAGTAGTTAGCTCAACACACCTTTGGCGTATGCTGGATGTTGTTTTCAGACAAATGTCAAGGATTGACAACCTTTCAAGTTAAGGAAGTGCCATGGGATCAAAGGACAAGGAGGTCCGTTCTCCGTAGCTGCCATATCGCTGACAGTTCGTACAGTTCGTACTGGAGTCCCTCTGACCTAATCTCCGTAGCTCATGCTTCTGTTGATTGTTAGGTGAGTTGCGGAAGTTCTCAGCGCCAAATTTAGTGAAACCATTGGATCGCAGGTAAGATGTTCCCTAGGGCAGCATACGTGCTTGTGAGAGGTACATCTCTCGTATGCAGTTTTTAGAGGATAATATTCAGTGAAGTTTTTGTTTTGTGGTGGTAGTATGCTTCTTATTAGTGCAAATAAATAAGTACATAAGTAAATGAAAAAATAAAAATAACAATAAATACATGCTTTTTAATAGTTTTTATTAGTGCAATGTGCAATGAACCTCTTAGTTCAATCAACATCATTGAGCTCACACAATCACATCACAGGCATGTATGAGATCACACGAGATTCACACTGGAGACCAGAGAGATGAAGACCATGTAGCGCAGCTCAGAATTCCAACAAGTAATTACAAGAGCAATAAGAGTTCAAGTCACCGGCGCTCATTAGCGCAAACCAAAGGTAACCCATAACCAGCATAAGCTCTCAGGTAAGTATCTCTTCTCCACTGCTCTTCTCTCTTATGTATCTCTCCTCCTTGCTGGTCTTCTCCCTAACTATGTCCTCGCTGTGTCTTCTCTCCCTACAGGCTTGCACACTCACTAACTTCTACTCAAGGATCTACTCTGAATACACCCACTGTCAACTCTACTAACCCTCTGAAGTCTACTACTACCTACTAGCATTAACACCCTGCACTGTCGCAGCTATGGCTGCCTTCTCCCTGCCAGCGCTCTCTTCCTCTCTCTCCCTCTCTTAGCGCAGCACTCTGACTTCAGCGCTCTGCCCTCGCAATAGCGCACAAGCGCACCAGCACTTCCACACTTCATGCGAATGAGCAATCTCCCCGAATGGTAGGCTGGCCAGTCCTTTTGTAGTCTTGGATTGCACTTCAACTCGTGCCAGCCTCTGCTTCCTGGGGCCTGACTGGGTTCCGGCACCACATCCCCACGGCCTGTCTGCTTCTGAATGTCAAGGCCTGGGACAGTCTAACCTTCCCCAATTTCTATTGGTCTGCTGCTGCTTGGGCCTTTGAGTCGTGACTTTTCGATTTTGGCGTATGGGTTTTGACTGTGGACAGTGACTCCTGCCTCTGGGACATGACTCTTGCCTATAGGATTGTCCTTTCACTCGTGGGATGTGACTCTTCAATATGACTTTTCATTATGAGACGTGACTTTTGTCCCTGAGATGTGACTGTTTGCTGGGTGCCTATTGGACTAGACTACTGGCGTACCCGACTGTGACTTTCTGGATTTGACGAACTCGGCCTCTCTTGACCAGGGCCTCTGACCCTGAGACCCGAATTTGGGGTCTGAATCGTGGAAGGCCTTTCAAATGGTTCTGACTGCCTGTTACTTACAGACCATCGGACTGTCATCGATGGCAATTGCCGATAATTGTGCGCCATCTTTGAGCTGTCTACATGTGCACCCTCCAGCAGAT